TATGCACGAAGATCATTAATTTTATATATGAGTGACACTTGACCCCCTGTAAATCCGCAATGTCCTGCGACTGTTATGGGTATTCCTGTGACATTAGGTCTGGACCACCTCCATGTATATTTCACGTGTGGTGATGGCAGGTCGCAGTTTAAAATACGGGTTGGTAATTTTAGATCGAGTTAGTTTCATAGAATGTAAAGATATTCTATAATAATGTATATTGAAAATCTTCAACAAATTTAATTAACTCATATGTATCTACTATACATAAAATAAGTCTTGTAAATCTAAGAGCAATAGACTCATTTTTAAATATCCTGTAATTTATTTTCCTATATCAATTAAATAATCCAGGTGGTCGAGATATGAAAATAAGCCAATTAATTAATACAATACATAAATTTTTATATTACCTTAATATTAACTGACCACTTTACACGATGTATATGTTTTATAAATTTCGAATATTAATCTCAGATCATATGGTCAGTGGCACATTCGATTACAAAGGGTTATTATATTAATATGGATCTTTCAAAGTGCACAATGTGCATTGGACTACGGGTGTGGTATATTAATATATTCGGAGAAACTTATCCCTGAGGGAATTTTTGGTCACGTGGATTTGGTCCATACTTTGGTACAATAATAGGTCATTAGATTTATAAAATTTTTCGGAAAACTATAAATTCGCAACTCACGCGTAGTGCTATAATGATTAAAACGATTCGTTGAAACAAGAAAGCTTATGACTTTGGAGAAGATACTGTTGAACTATTTTCCGAGTTCGTGGATGTTTTTTTCTCCGCATGGAATATAAGGGATGTGTTGATAAGTAAGATGTTCTGTAAAATATAAAAAATGATGAGTTGAGTTGAGAAAACCGTTTGAAATATACTCGAAATGTTAGTAACGTTTCCACAAATATAAATATAGTTTCAGGGTCGGTTGGGCAGGAATGGTAGTCGATTGCAACTGGTAAAGATGATGAACTCCGTCTGCATCTCTGATGAGAGTACTTGAGTGTAATTTATAGCCGTTCACTTGAACCTCGGTAATACCAAATTAATTTTGGATTGATAAACATTCCTTGTGTATCCAGAACATCTCAACATTCATCTCTCTTCGCAGTTTCACGCAATTCATTTCTTCTTTTTGTTTGTTACAGACCAATCGCGAGCACTCAGAACACATTAGTTCATATATCCGTTTTCCATGATCCAATATGTACAAAATATCAGGTAGTTTTCCGGAATTACTTATCGCACTAGCTACACTACGACGCTCTGCACTGAATAAAAGAAAGAGCTCTATAATTCTGGTGGCGGGATTTGATGATTAATTAATTATTTCATCTTACGCGCTAACGAAACAAGACTTCCCTACTGGTAACCACTGAATGCAACACAAATTGCGGGGACTATCACATCCATCACATAAGTTCCCTCGTTTAACGGCTTGGTAAATTTAGGTCCAAATGTGGGATTTTTCCAAACCTCACTCAGTGTATCTAGAATACCTACTGTAATCCTATTAAGATCTTCATCTGACTCTTTCCAATTCCCATCGTGTAAAATTTTACTGGAAAACCGAGGCCGAATCATCTAAGTAATTTGACATATACTCCACGCACTTTTCTCGGATGATATATAGGGTACTTGATAGCATACCCATTGCGAGTTTCATGAAAGATTTAGGTGTATTACCTGGTAATTCTCGTACTATTTCTGAGTTGACACTAATAATTCGACTGGATAGTGTATCATACCATTTCAGTGGTATTTGGTAACACCTTTTAAGTTACTTTGTAAATCATCAGCATACCCAAACAAGCTTTTCTAATAACGAAATAAAAACTCAGATTTCAAGCATAGTTGTACCCTTTACTGTATGTAATTATACCCAAGCGAAAAAAAATCTGTTGGGTACTTACAGCTAGACTCGTTTTAAATTGCCGTGAAATTCGTCTTAATTTCATCGATACTAAGATCTTCTACTCCCCATTTCATAGAAAGTGTTAATATGCTTCGATGCTAGTGAATTCTCAAGGCGTTAAAACACTAAATAAAGAAGATTCAATCAATCAATTCAAAAATTTAACAAACCTATCTCATAAATTATATCTAAAGTAAAGGTGGTCATGTAATGTTCCTTAATAATAAATTATTTGATAAAAATATATGCAAGGTACTATTGTAATTGTTTCAAAAATTCATGATGATAATAATGTTGAAGCTATGATTCCTAATTTAACAAGTATAAATAAGATTATAGTTCAAAAAGAAACTAGTCATTTTTGAAATTTGATGACAAGAGAGCATCTAGGCAGAAATTTCCTCTTCAAAATGCATTTGCCTTAACTGTTCATAAAACACAAGGTCTAACTCTACCACATGTAACATTAAATGTTGATGAAAACATGTTTGCTGAAGGTCAAATATATGTTGCAATGAGTTGAGCACCTTCTTTAGAAAAACTACATAATTTAGGGTTTGATTGTTCACAATTAAAGATTCTAAAGCAATTGTAGAAGAAATACAAGATATTAGAAAAAGATCGATACTGATGGATTACAAAACACTATCAAATTTTAAAAAATATATTACCAGGGACGATGATTTTATCCAATTTGAAAATTGCCCAAATAGTACATAATAATAATGTTTGATAATTATTTGACGAGTTAATTACAGAATTATGTCTATTTATTATATCAAAGGGAAATTGAAATTATGAGAGAATAGGAATATTTCAGTGTAGAATAAAGATGATTTTATCAAATTGAGGAATATAATCAAATGATTTTTCTGATAAAATAAAATTTCCTTTGATAAAGAAAACATATAATGAATTTCATTATTATATTGGTTATAATAATAGGTTATTACTTCAAAAGGTCCAAGAACGAAACAGCATGAGTAAAATTATCAAATTTAAAAAGTGTTTAAATTTCAGAATGATGGAAAAAAATATCTATACAATGCAAGTAATTCTCAATGGAACCAAGATGGATTTTCTAGGTCTGTCTTTGAGAAAAATGGTATGATGTAGAACAGACTGTAGCTATTATGAAAATTAAAAAGAAAACGGGTGAATTAGTTGGTAGTTATAATCCTGTTGGTTGGGTATTAAAGGAATAATTTTTATTGGGTTGAAACTGATAAAAGTTTTATTTTTAAAATTGATGAAAATCTAATAATTAATTCAATAATAAGTAGTCAAAAATTCTGAATATGCAATACTTTGTAAAGTTCAAAGTGCAGATATTATCACTATAAATAATATAAAATTTAAAATTATTGTGCTCTAATGACAATGCTGAGGATTCTTATAAAAAAACAATTTATGAAGTTATAAATTAGCAAAGAAAAATTAAATAGGTTATTTTACTTAATTTACTTTTTTTCTATATTAAAAATTACTTTTAAACTTTTTAATTTCCACCATGACGCTTTGTACACCAACAGGTTGTTGTCTAACTCTAACTCTACCATTTTTCAACCCGTCTTCTAACGCATTACAAAATTTTGTGTAATAAATAATCAATTGTCCTAATACAGTATGTAATATCACTGTACCATTTTTAAAATTTGAAAAATATTGTATTACTGAAGTATTTATTGATGCTATTGATTGCCTCCAAGTTGCAATAAATTCTGACGAAATTTTATCATACATGTCTACTAATATAATAGTATTAGAAATTAATTATTATAGTTGTAATTATTATTTTGTTTTCTTGCTTACCTGAATTAATGCTTTCAGTATCATCTATTTGTTCAATATATTTAACGAATGAAATTAGATTACCAAAATATGGTTGTAACTCTTCTTCAACAAATCCTGAGATATTGGTATTTAATAGTTCTCGAAAATGAATAATTTCCGGTTCTGTAGCTTTACCACCACTTTCCTAACATTTGCATATATTTATTATAATTAAAATATATATATAAATTAAAAATAATAAAATAATAATAAAAATAATAACATACACTTAAAATTGTTATAATCAAATCATAATTATTAATTAAAAATATTAATCTACTTTTTTTATCTTCAAATGTTGTTGACATTTTATTCAAAAGCAGATCAACTTCACTTCGTAACCTTAAAAGACTGTTTTTTTTTTAGAGGGAAATTTTTAAAAATCAGAAATTTTATTGTTTCCAAAAAAAAAAATAGAACCCATTTTCTTTACTTACGTATTTGTTAAATTTGAATCTTTATAATCTTCATTCAATATTAATAATGAAGCAGAAAATTCTGCAAATCGTCTAGTAACCTACCAAAAAAAAAAAAGAGAGAATAATTTAATAATGTATAACGACAATGTATATATAACTTAGCTAGCCGACTAGTTAGCTTACATACATAATGAGGAAGAAAATCTTTAACAATTAATTTATTGCTGGCTTTCTTTATACTTTCAATGTGCAGATCCATAAGTGCTTGAAATTTTGGCCAAAGTAACATATTAGTTTGATTAGTGTATGCTTCCAATGCAGGAACGCGACGCCTTTGTAATTCTAGAGTAAATTGTGTGTTCAATCTAATACATAAAAGTACACCAATAGCATCATAACTATTCTCAATATATTGTTTGGTGAAATTCTGGATATATATGAAAGAGAATAATAATGTAAATTAAGAATAAATATATAATTAATATAAAAACATATAAATTAACATATATACGAACCAAACCCATTCTTATGGTGGGCTCAAATATTTCAGCAAAAATTTCTTTTGCCAAATCAACATTTGGTTTTTCATCTTTGGTAAAAAATTCAGTTATAAAAAGATATTCTGAACTGGCATTATCAATAAATGTTAAATTAAAACTCCTGAATAAGACTTCATATGGATGTTTCTATATGTTAAAAAAACATCAATTGATTATCTTGGAATTTTAAATATAATAAGATCTACAAATTTATTAACCTGATTCTTATCTTCTGCTACATGAACTAAGATGACACCGGAATCTTGATTTTTTAATGTATCTATTCTATCACCCAATGCACATATATTTATTTTATCTTGAAGGGCAATTTTACTAGTTCCGAATAATAAACTTCCTATGATACAGCAGTAAAAACTGTAAGAAACAAAATATATGTATATTTTTTTTCCTAAATAATAAATTTTTTTTATAAAAACCTTTTCTAACATTTTCATCATATCCAATCATTGCAAATTTATCCGCTATAGGACTCTAAATAAAAAAAAATAATTAATTAAATTAAGCAAAAAAAAAATATAATTCATAATAAACAAGCTACTAACTTGAAGTTTTTGTAAGCCTCTCATATATCTTTCAAAATGATTAGAAAAATACCACCTCATAGTATTCATATATGTATGCATAATTTCAAATGCAACATCACTATATCTTTGCATTACAAATTGATAAAGTACCTTATGTTTTAATAATATTGATTGTTGTAAAATTTGAACATTTGTATTTGGAATTCGTAATGATTTTATTTTAGATAAAAGATAATCACGAATTTTTTCTGAAGCCTTTATTTATTATTATTTTTTAAAAAATCAATATTGATTAATAAATCCTAAGTTCATGGAATTATATGTATTAAAACATAATAAATAAATAAATAAATAAATAAATAAGGTCTACCTTTAAACGTAACTTTTCCAATTCAGGCCCAACATCTTTCAAAGCCTTTATATTCTTTCCTTGTTTTTGCTTTACATAAGACATTTTTTTATTTAGTTCAGTCAAATAAGCCAACCATATTTCGTCAATCTCATCTTCGGTAATTTTCCTTAAATTAATTAGATAGATGAAAAAGAAAGAGGGGGAAGAGAGAAAATGTAAATACTTTTTTATATGTTAATATAATCGTCTTATGTTTAATCATAAATTGATGATAACTTACTTAACCATAGGAGGTGGAATTATGATTCCTTCCAAAATATTATTTAAACTATTTTCTAATACCTAAAAAAAAATTAAATACACATTAAAATAATAATAAAATGATTTTGATTTTTTAAAAAAAAATAAAAAATAAAACCTACAGTTCGATTTTTGAGTTGTATATTCATAGAAAAAGATTTATCTTGTAATGTTTGAATTTCATTACTAATTTTTCCCAAATCCATTTGAAAATCACTTAACATATCTTCCATAGTTTCCAAAATTTGATCACATAACTATTTTTAGATTTTTTTAATTGAAAAGTTTTTTTTCAAGAAAATAAAAAATTGTAGTTGTAATTGTAAGCACCTGAATTTGATTATGCAGATCTACAAAATTTTCTGCTTGATTAACATCTTTTTTTCACATACAAGTTAAAGATGATTTTATAATAATAATAATAATAATAATAATAATAATAATAAATTTCTTAAAAGAATTATAATAATGAAATTTTCTATGAAATTTTCAACTCAGGATACAATTCAATTCATGTTCTCGTTCTATCATTTTAAGTTCATGTTCAATATTATGTGCATATTCTCTCAAATCTATTCCCTAAAAAATAAATTAAATAAATAAACATAATTATTAACATATAATTAATCAATTTAACAATCAATTAATTACCTTGGTGAATGCTTCATGAACAAATGCCTCTTCTTGAAATTCAGATAATCTTTCTAATTAATTAATTATAAAAATAAAACTAATTAGATGCCTCATCTACAATTCTATGCGCACACACAAAACATTCACACGCATACATATACTAACCATCTACCTCGTCAAAAGATATATCCCAGTCATTATCTACTAAAAATTCTTCTTCTTCGATTTCTTCTAATATCTAAAAAATTAAGATTAAACTAGTTAATCAACCTCTATCTCATATATATATATAACATAATACATACTTGATCATTAATAGATTCAAACAATTTTTCAATTAATCTTTCATTTGGTGTCGTAGGAGTTTGACTAATATTACTAGCAGGAGTTTTAGGCAGTGATTTTTCACTCATTTTTTTTTTATTTTAAAAATTTGTATAATTACACAAAAAAAATTTGTGTGAAACGAAAATATATCGAATTGCGAGATTTCCTTTTCGGGATAATGTTGTGATCAACTCATTCACACGCGTCCTTTCGAATCAAATAATTGCAAAGAAATTTATTATATTTGTAATATTTTATTGGAATCTATTAGTTATTTACTATATTTCCTTAATGTAATTCATTATTAACTATTAATTGCTAAAAATTGGTAACTAGCGAATATGTGCATCAAATATACTATTTCTAGCTTTGCTCGATAGTTTAAAGAGAAATAAAAGAAGGGATTAGAATTAAAGAAATGAGAGGGACTTTTCACATTGAAAATTTAATATAAATAAAATATCTTACACCAAGTGCGAAAAAGAATTAGACTATTCAATTTTTTTAATTCTTTTAAAATAAAATCACATGATTCTCATCAGAAAAGTCGGATTGATATCACATGAAATTTATGCTATTCCTTTTGTATGAGAACAAACATATAATCAATATAATAAAATCCTCCCTCATCGGCCCAATATAGATTCTGTTTGCATGTTGGACATAATATAGAGTGATAAGTATCAATATGTATTATTTCGCAAAGATAAACAAAGGAAGCGTTCTAACAAAGAATTTGTTGGACAACAGCCTTACCAATGATTAGTGTCGAACAGCAATAGAAATATGCAAATGTATTTTTTTCTTTTATTAATATAAAATATAAAATCAATACAGTAATTATTAACACTTGTGATTTTGTTAAATGATAGAAAAAAAAATTTTTTTTCAACCTATTAATAGTGTTGGTTGAAGAAATTATATTTTTTATTGTAACTTTTATTTTCTTTCATGATATGTCTCATTCTTTGTATTGATTTTTTTAATCTATTCGATATATTAAATCAATTTCTTCGCCAAAGACTTTTCTGAATTACCAACATCCATCAATATTTCTTCAAGTTTGAATTCCCATTCATCACCTTCATTACTTTGCACCAAGAATTTTTCTTCATCTAAATCTATAATATATATCCACTCAATCCAAAGATCATTCTCTGGGGCTCTCTCAGTTGGAAATTCTTCAAGGAGTAAATAACCTAAAGATAAAACCTTTTTTAGGCAAAGTCCTTCTACACAAAAAATTCTTCCTAGCAAGAAGGACCATTTTTCTTCTAAAGAATCATATGTCTTGCATATCCAGGTGTAAAATGTTCCAGAGCTACGCCTAATAATGGCTTCAAGATTTCCTGTCTCATTATTTTTGATGTACATAGAAGAACGACGTAACCAAGATTCAAAATAAGACTCGTCTTGCATTATGAATGTTCGAAAATTATCTACGATTTCTTGTGTGATTTCTGGATATTTTCCATCACATATAATAATATTATGTACCAATCTTTCACGTAATTCTTGCAAACTAAATCCTTGAAGTTGTTCAAGAAGAGTTTCTCCTAACCCTTCAGGATATGAGTCCCAATGATTATAGATTATATAATATTTTCCTTTATACAAGAAGCAATATAAACCTCGAGTTCCCATAATTGTACGATTTTTTCCAATTCAAATTCATATAAAATATGTTTTGTTTGACACCAAGAAGATGTTATTGATTAGAAACTGTGTAACAGGAAAAATTTTTGGTCGTTTTTCCCCTTAATATTGAATGGGGCACAGGATGACAACAATATTATTAATTGTATTTTTTATAATAACACATCAAATATTAGACCCTGTTTGCTTTAATATTAATAAAAAAATGGGGATCAACCATAGACCGGATATCTTTCTAAAATTGAAAACTGCTTCCAAGGTCATTTTCCGGGATCATGATTTGATGGGTATAATGATATAAGAACAACAATAACAATTTTATTCGATACGAAGAACGTGATAAGTGTTATGAAAGCTATATCTTCCATACTTTGTCAAGGGCACTCCTACTATTTCTACTACATCATCTGGTCATTGATATTTAGCATATAATAATGATCATCGTCATCACCATCATCAAAAAAGGAATTCTAGTAAGAAATGTTTTTTGGGAAATGGTGATTTTAATTATAGATAAATTGATACAAGAGGATTGTCAAAAGCAATAGTTAAAGGTATTAGAATAGTTATTGGGATTCGTTCAAGAGGACAGGATAAGTAAGTTCAAATGTTGATTTTTTAATTCAAAATTGATCCAACGATAAAGTTAGATTGGTAATACTAATTACCTTACCCCATCCCTCCCCCATAATTCTTAATTTCGGTGATGTCTCGTAATTTATGGTTGGAGATTGAGAATGCCCACTCACTTTTGATTTATTCATTCATTCATTCGCCTAAACTCAAGATCAAATATTATGTGACTTATGTGATTTGCAAAACATAAAAATAAGGTATTACTTTACTATTCATTAATTTGTCAATTGCATAAACAAGCGCTTCTCAATTATTCCTGAAATATATAGTAAAATATAAATTAGTGAATCATTTAATAATATCATTAAACTTCACAGTATGATGCTTGGCTGTTTTTGCTAAAGGGTATAAATAATTATCCCCGTGTACTGGAAAAATTCAAACATGGTTAAATTTTATGACAGTCTAATTTTTTTATTTATAAAATGCAAAACATTATAAATTATATAAGTATACAAACAAATATTAAATATAACATTGTGAAATAATAAGTATTTAATAGCAATAATATTAATAGTAATAAATTTAATTTATGTCCTTCAATTTTATTATAATTGTTTGATCTTTTAAATGGTAATGCAATATGATATTTTTATCTGGATAATCAAAAGCATCACTAAAAATATTAGGATCATCAACACTAATACACTGGAAATTGCATCTTGATAATTATTCATCAAGTCGCATGTATTTTCAGTAGTAACTGGGTGGGTTTCACTTATAACATTTACTGATTTTGAATCATTGTCTGAAATATCTGGAAGAGTAAGTTTAGTTATAGTAGTCCTTTTGTTTTCATTTTGCAATCTATAAAGTAATAGAGCAATGTAAAGCTATCTTCAACTTAGGTTCTATAATAAATATAAAAATATATTACAAATTTCGTAACTATTCTAAACATAGTGATGATCATCGCAGCAAATTCCTAATAGTAAATTTAGACCGCAGTTTTCAATTTTGAAAAACTTGAAAGCATGTGTAAATGTGCTACATCCAATTTTTAAAATCTCTCTTTCTCAAAAATGATACTATTAATTAGTATTATCATTCTATTATCACTATCACTATTTTCTGTTATAAATCCTACTATTGTCTACAAAATATTATATTATACTTTACATTTATTATATTTTCAATATAAAATTTTATTCAAAATAACGCCAAGCTACTTTTGTAAAAATAAAAAATTCAAGAAACCAACCAATTCTTCGCAAGTTCTAAATGATCTTAAAGATTTAGATAAAATACCAAAACACCTTGGTGTTATGTTTTGGGGAAATTTCAATAATAGTAACAATGTCAATAACATTGATAAGGAAATAAAAATGATTAAGGAAGCGGCAGAATTATGTTGTTGGTGTAAATGTGCTGGAATTAAGATATTGAGTATTTATGAGAGTGAAGGTATTTTAATTGTATTAAATTACATGGTTGATTGAATGATTGATTGAATTATTTGATTGATTGGTGATATTTATTAATTATTATTACCAATTACTTTCTTTATTTACTTCCAATTCTTCTTCTTCGATTCACCAACCACCTATTCGCTCGTCCATTTCTCTCTCTCTCTTTCTATTTTAAAAAAGGTCAATTAAAAAATTATGTTCAATTATTACAATCTTGTATTGATATAATTTCTCATGATTTTTTTATTAACAATAACAATAATATAATAATTCCTCCACCTGTTATAAGAGTATCATCATCATTATTAGGTGCATCACCACCACCACCACCACCACCACCATCATCATCATCATCATCATCATCATCATCATCATCAATAAATAATAATAATAATAATGTAAAAGATGATTATAATAATAAATCAGGTAAAAAAAATTTTTCATATTTTTTTTTTATCCTTCTCGTTATCCTCCCTATTTCTAATGATATATGTATTCTTCCCTAATATTGATTGACTGATTGATAGATAAAATAGTAGACTTACAAATCAATTTAATTTCACGCTTTGAAGGAAGAGATCACATAATAAAAGTGGTTAGATCATTGGCTGAAGAAGTGAAGCTAAAAAAAGTTAAAAATGATGAGATTGATGTTGGAGAATTTGATAAAAGATTAAGCAGTGAGTTTTTTCCTTCCTTCGACCAACGAATTAAGAATGAATTAATAAATATTAATAATAAATCAAATATAACAGTTCCACAATTTCCAGAACCACAACTTTTAATTTTATTTTCTCCAAGAATTGAATTCGATGGATTTCCACCTTGGCATATTCATTTAACTGAAATATTGTAAGTAGTGTACAGGAATTTTTGAATTAATTTCAATAATATAACATATATTAAATTGATACTAAAATCATTTATTTTATTTATTCTATTTATTTATTAGTCATGTACCTAATAATAATAAATTTCATTATACAATATTTATAGAAGGACTTAGAAAATATTCAAAAGTTGACCAAAGATTTGGTAGATGATAATAATACTATTTATTAGAGAGATATAAATAATCTTTAATAATAAATTATTTATAAAGGATAATTTATTGAAAGAAAGAAAGATTCGAAAATCAAAGATTAGATGGTTTTTTTATAAAATAATATGGACAAAGTGGCGGTCTTTTAAAAAATCGTCCTTTATTTAAAAATTTTAAAGTGAAAGGTCTCAAAATCTTTATTCACAGTTTTGCCCACAACCAATGTTTTTAGTTTCACATGGGGACAATTTAATCTGAAATTTTATTTGCGTCAAATCGAACGTTCTAGGTTCGAACCATATAAATCAGTAATTTTGAGATCGAACCATCGAATTTCGAATATTCGAATTAAATATTTTGATCCTCTTATTAATTTTGGAACCAATTCGATTTTTTGTGTATGAACTTTTTTCAAAAAGGTATTTTTTAATAGCATTCTAGGTATATTTTAGTCGGTACATTGTTTTTATTATTATAGACTGATGATTCTGCCACATTGACTTAACTTCCGAAGAATTCGTTCAAAAATTATGCGTGTTTACAAAAAATTTCAAAACATCATAATCTTATTCAAAACATGTATCATTATATATTCATGTAATGCATTTATTCGAATAACATAGTTGTTCGAACCAAAAAATTTTAATGATAGCCATGCTCTATTAATAAATACACTCTTGTTTTTTTTTTGAAGTTTAATAATAAATAAATCTCGTTATGTTAATTTAAAGCAATAAGGATATATGGAACAGGAATGAAGAAGCAAAAAAGGAAAAAGTAAAGAAAGAAAGAAGCAAATATAATAAATAAAGGAAACCTCCTACTGGCCGTTTAAAGCAGTGTTGGCAATGACTTTTTAGACTGTTAATAAAATCACATGATATAAATTGATGTTCACGGAGCACAGACTTCTAGCTAAAATGCCTCACAAGAGTTAAAAAATATGAAAAAACTTGTATGGTTATTTTTCAAAATCTCATAAAAGACAATGTTAAAGTTGATGCAGGTAATAAATTGTTTTTTCGGTTTTTTTTTTATTGATAGTTTTTATCATAATTAAGAGATTAATGAAGAACCATCCATCACTTGTAATATTGTATGTGTGTGGTTATCATTTTCAAATTCTGTGAGCGATTTACATAAAATCATGAAATCTGTATTATCTACTTTAAATGATTATATTGGAGATTAACTCCAGTCAGTGTTTTTACCGAATTTGGAAATCGATTCTAGAATGATCTACACAATTTTAATATATAGGCTCTTGTGCATTCATTTCCGTTGTAAAAACTTCATGTTTCATGTGACTTTACACAAAAAAATTTTGTTGTAA